TTTTTTTCCTCTTTAAATATAGGAGATGGATGGGTATTGCAACTTGCTCATTAATATCAGCTAGACCTCATTAAATTAACATAAAAAATTAGAAATAGGTTTGGAAATTTGTTTTCTTGATAGTTTCTTGGAATAACCATATAAGTATTACAGTTCAAAAATATGTTGAAAGTTAAAAACAAATAATAAAATAAAATAAAAAAATCAACAGCAACTGTTTTCGATTGTACGAATTCGAAAACATATTTTATAAGTATAATCGATTTTTCATTAACACTTACTTTTACACATATGTAGACATATAATTTAGGAGACGTAGTAACAATTTTCCTTCCATAAAATAATGTATTGTAGAATCATGAAATAAGATTTATGGTATATACCATTTTATTGCAAATTATTTAAGCCCCGATCATTTTGAAGAAAGATAATTCCCTTTTTCAAAAATAAGCATTTGTTCTCATGTTTGTTTTTGTTTAGACGTCATAGTTTTCGAAGATTTCAAAATGTATGGATTTTGCGTAATTGTTGTGTTAGTAAAATAATATTTGTTATAACGTCGAATTATCAAAAAACTACTGTTAGAATCGTATTATAAATGTATATTATTTATGTAATCAATTGTTTTCTGACTTTTGCAACTTGTAATTATTCAAACATCGGATAATAAAGTATGTGCATACCACCACTGAACTGCGATGGTTGTTTCTTTAATACGTGTCATCGCTCATGATGTGAAGTCAGTGCATTACATTAAAAGCTTCAAAATGCTATTTTATACTATTTTAATTTTTCAATTATCACGCACAATTTTATGTACAGTTGATCTGCAATATTCACCCAAAGAAAATGAAAACGTGAAAAATTTAGTTGGTGTTATAAAGAAATTGCATGTAAGTAACGGTAAATGTATTAATAGTAAGGATAATGAGTGCGATAATTTGGATTCACCCTATGATATCGAAAATTTAAAGAATATTTTTCATATTATTTTCAAACAAATATCCAATTACTATCATGAACTTTTAGTTGAAATAGAAACCAAAAACTCGGATCCGACCATCGATTTAAATGATAAACTTTTTAAATCACAATACGTGGAGACTGTATGTTTGTACACTATTCGAGTCTTAGATTTTATCTACATGAATACGAAAACACTTTCATCTGTAATACCTTTATATAATTTATATTTTAATCTTTTTCACGTAGTACCGATATTCATCACAGAGAAATGTCAAATGAATCAATCAGGGAAATACACATGCGACAAAGAAAACATAAATTTATTACTAAATTCGGAGGGATTGATAAAAGAATTCGATAACGTGAACACGGAGGACAATTGTCTAAAGATTAGTCAGGATTTAATTTTAGGTGTATATAATATCATAAATGATACCAATCAGGAAAATCCAAAGGCAAATTCATTGATATATAAGGATATATTTATTCAACAGTATCCCGATTATGTAGACAAACTGTCATGTGAAAATCAAAATGATGACTACACAGAGCTAGAAAATAATTGCAATGTTATAATAAATAAACTGATACATGAAAATAATGAAAAACAATTAACTGTACCGGAAAAAATAAATTATCTTCTGTTACTTATTTATCAGAAACTTAAGGAGCACTTTCAAAAAGGTATATTTACTTATTTAAAAGATAACATTTATATGTCTCTTATTAATGTAAATTTGTTAAGTACAATAGTTTCGAATATGTTCCATAGATTTTGCAAACCGACTCCGTTAATTCTTCACTATTTGAGTAATAGAAATATTAATGATAAAAATCTGTTTACTTTGTATTTTACATTGTGCGGAGATTATATCGGATTTTTTATCGATCGTTGCGCTGTCAAAATGACGAACATATATGAGGACATCACGTTAAACGCGGAATGCGTGATGCAATCGTTCATCGATAAGTTATCAGTAAATATCGAAAAGATCACTCCATTAAATATCATTTTTGGTATGGTTCAGGAGAACCCTACGAAGGATAGTATGAAATCAATTGTTGAAAATATTTATAACGCCATGAAAAAGAGTTACAAAGCTAGTTTTTTGTGGACCAACTATGATTGGTTGAGTGCGAAGTATTTTTTTCGAAACAATCATAAGTCTCTCGCTATGAATAATTTAAAGGAACGCACTGTGTTATTTGACAGAACACCAATGAATCTCCTCGAGATATACACTTATTTATTGCCATTCGATCAGAACATGAGAACAGTATTTTTTTTCCACAATATGCTCATACTTACGGTCGAATGCATTCTGAACACGTTTGTTTATCGACATGCAAAACTAACTATTATGTATTTTAATTTGAGTGATAAAGGATCC